TGTGGAAAGGGGGAGGATGCTGTATGGATTAGGGAGTACAGTCATCGGGTTTAAGGCTTGTGTTTATGTTTGGTATTAGATGAGAGGCTGGATTAAAGTCGGGGCCCTGTGCAACAGTTACAGTGGGAGTTTCAATAAAGAGCGAACGGAGTTGGATAAGATGTGGGGCAGTTAACAGATGTGGGAGATGTGAAGAGAATCCTAAGCCTGAAGGTGTGAGCGCTGTGTAGAGTGAGGCGTAGCCTGTGATTCTGGAAGCCTCAAGAAGGAGCAGAGCGGAGCAGTTGCCACATGCAGGCCTGAGGGCCAACCTAGGACAGTGAGGCCAAGTCGTTTAGAGAGGAAGGCAACAGGACATGGACCTGGCTCCTATGTAAGAACTCCAGCTGCACAACCCTGAATTTCAGCAGTGTTTAAGAAAAAGGGTTAGGATGAGTTGGGGAGAGCTAGTGTGGGAGCAGTTTCTAGAGCTGTCTTTAAAGAGCAAAAGGAGGAGTGAGGAATGGATTTAGAATCTATGGGGCTGGATCAGCTTCCCTTGGTGAGCTTATATAGAGGTTTAGTTAGAATGGCAAAAGTATCTGTCCACACCTAGGAAGGAGAGGAGCTGCTGTTTGGTAGGAGGGTTGGGGTTGAGGAGATTAACTGGGTACGGGTGGTGGGGGGAACACAGGTGTTTTGTTGGAGGATGATCCCAGAGAGGTGACAGATGGAGAAGAAATCTGGGTCTCAGAAGGGGAAACGTGATATCCCTTTAAGAACAGGTGCTGAGAAGCTTCGTGAGGGGCTGCACAGTAGGAAGTCGTCCTCGTACTGAATAAGGTGAGAAGCTGAGGGACATAAAGAGAGCAGGTCATGAGCGAGGGCCTGACTGAAGTAGTGTGGGCTGTCCCCGAAGCCCTGAGGCAGGACGGTCCAGGTGAGTTGTTGTGACTGGTGGGTGTCAGGGTCAGGCCAAGTGAAGGCAGATAGAGGGTGGGAGGAGGGATGTAAGGGGTGGTGAAAAAGGCGTCTTGGAGATCGAGTACAGAATAATGAGCTGTGGAGGGAGGAATTGAGGACAGGAGAGTATATGGGTTTGGCACTACAGGATGGAAGGGAAGGACAATTTGATTGAGAAGCTCAGGTCTTGGACTAGCCAGTAGGATTTGTCCGGTTCCTGGACAGGGAAGATAGGAGAGTCGCACGAGAGTCAGAAGGCTTTAGGAGACCATGTTGTAACAAGCAGGTGATAGCAGGTTTTAGTCTGCTTAGAGCTTGTGGGGGAATGGCGTATTGGCGCTGGGCAGGGCAGGGGTGATTGGGTTTTGGGAGATAGCGGCAGGTGCATGATTGGTTGCTGAGGACGGAGTAGAGGTGTCCCAGAACTGTGGGCTGAGGTGAGGAGACGTGATGGGAGGCTGCGCGGTAGGCTTTGGGTCAGGTAAGAGGGCAGCTACAAGATGTGGCTGTAGCCCTGGAATAGTCAGGGGAGCAGCTAATTTAGTTAAAATATCTCACCCTAATAAGGGAACAAGACGTGTGTGGATGCCCTGTTCTAGGGACATGTCACTCCAGGAAGGAGTAAAGGAGTGTTGCCCAAGCTGACACCAGAGTTGGGAGTTCTGAAAGGTTTTGAAGCCAGGCCATCAATGCCGACAACAGTCACAGGGGCTAAGGAAACAGGCCCTTGAAAAGAAGGTAATGTGGAGTGGGTAGCGCCTGTATCAACTAAAAAGGGGATGGATTTACCCTCCACGGTAGGAGTTACCCGAAGCTCGGCATCCGTGGTGGTCCAGGAGGCTTCCAAAGCAGTTGGGCGGCATCAATCTTCAGTTGCTAAGCCGAGAAGTTCTGGAAAGGAGTCAGCTGGAGAATATTGGGTTTGAATTCCAGGAGACTTGGAAGTGGCTGTAACATGAGCCAGACAGTCCGATTTCCACAGACAGGACATGGCCTAGAGGAGGTCTTGGGCTGAAGCACTCGTTAGCCCAATATCCAAGCTTTTGGCATTTGAGGCAGGATGGAGCCCCAGGCTGTGGGCACTCCCTGGCCCAGTGGCCAGTCTTCTGGCATTGGAAGCAGGGCCCTGGAGGACAGCTTGATGGAGCACCTGATTGCAGTCGCCTCGGTGCCTGGAAGTTCCTTGTCATTGTAACAGTGGCTGGGTTTGTCTTACCAGGGAGGCAAGCAGTTGCAGCTCTGAGACGCGTCTCCTCCCTATTGTTACACACCTTGAAGGCAAGGGTGATTAATTTCTGTTGTGGAGTTTGAGGGCCTTAGTTGAGTTTTTGAAGTTTTTTCCTAATGTCTGGGGCAGACTGGATAATAAAATGCATATTGAGAATAAGATGACCCTTTGGTCCCTCTGGGTCTAGTGCTGTGAAGTATCTAAGAGTTTCTGCTAGGCGGGCCATGAATTGGGCAGGATTTTCATGTTTGCCCTGGGTTGTTTCTTTAAACTTGTCATCATTAATGGCTTTGTAAGCTGCCTGCTTAAGTCCCCTAACTAAGCAAGAGACCAGCTTGGCAATGTCAGGCAAGCCCACCTGGTATTGCCATTTGGGTTCTTCCCCAGGTACTGCTCTGATGCCCTCTTGGGAGGACTGGCTCATGGCATCTGCGGTGTCAGCGTAAGGTTGAGCCAGAGTATAAATCCTATTTCATTCATCTGGAGAAAGAGTAGAGGTTAGAATGACATTTAAGTCATTCCAGGTTAAATTGTAGGACTGAGTTAGATATTGGAATTCTTGGATCTATTTAGTGGAATCTAATGAGAAAGATCCCAAGCGCTGACCAATTTGGGACAGATCGGACAGAGAAAAAGGAATATGCACCCTGACTTTGCCCTCGGCTCCAGCCACCTCTTGAAGGGGAAACTGTTGGATGGGGGAAGGAGAGCTAGTTTTAAGGCTGAATTGTGTCCCGGAGTGGGTATGGGATGGAGAAGTGACAGAGGAGGTATAAGAGGGAGGGGATGGGACAGTGGGGAGATTAGGGTTCAGTTTGGCCTGATGAGGGGCAGCCTGAGGGAGAAGGGAGAGGTCAGAAGGGTCTATTGAGAGTGAAGAATCTGCACTGGCAGTAGGGACAGGGGCCACAGGTGGGAGAGAAAGGAGAATTTGAGAGGGGTCCCATTGGGAGCAGAGGCTGGGAAGGGAGCAAAGTGTGAAAAATGCCTGCACTAGGGGACTTCAGACCATTTGCCCATTTTACAACAAAAGTTGTCTAGATCCTGCAGGATAAAAAAAAACCCAAAGATGCCATTTTCTGGCCATTTAGAGCCATTGTCCAATTTATATTGTGGCCAAGCAGCATTGCAGAAGAAAACAAGACACTGAGGTTTTAGGTCAGGTGATAGCCAGAGAGGTCTGAGGTTTTTAGAATGCAGGCTAAGGGAGAGGAGAGAGGAACGGAGGGAGGGCGGGAGGTTGTCCATCGTTTAAGAAGAGCGGCGGAGACAAGGAAAGTGAGTGCAGGACCAAGCAGCTTAGCAGGCAGACTAAACCTTCGTTTGAACCTGGGGTGAATCAGTCAAAGGGGGCATCCCTGCGTTGATCCATCACCCTATGACTGCGAGTGAGTGACCAGAGCGGACGTCTCCACAATGGTCAGTCACTAAAGCCAATGAGTAGGAGTGAGTGAGCAAAGCACATGCCTCCGCAATGACGTCACTGAGGGAAGACTGTCTTCCGGGTTCCGAAACCTACGTAGGACTTTTTCCAGTCATGAACCTCATGGAAAGTCCTGTCTTTCTTGTCTCCACTGAAAGGGAGAGGAAAATGAAACTGGAAGGAGAAGGAAGCTGACAGGTAGTGAGAAGGGAAAAAGAAGAGTTGAGGCAAACCACCTACCTGATCTGAGGATGGTGAGTGGATGCGCGGGCTGGTCGGATGAGCATAGGTCATAGGTAGGTCTCTTCACAGAGCGAGCACAAGGGGTGGGGACGGGGGTTTGGCTGCCTGTAGCAGTTCCCCCATCCTGGGTTTTGGCATCAATTGTCAGTGTGTCACTCATGTAAAGAGACCACCAGGCAGGCTTTGTGTGGGCAAAAAGGCCATTTATTGTTTATTTCACGCATAGGTGCAAGCAGGCCAAGTCTGAGAAAGGAATTAGGCAAAGAGGGTAGGAGAGGGGACTGGTTATATGGATTGGGGCAAATGGTCAGCTAAAGGTGGTAATCTATCTTGGGGAGGGGGAGGGCGTCACGGGATGCATGGTCTTAAGGGTAGGAGTCATTTATTACAAGCAGGCATGATCATAACGGTGGGGAGTATCTGTTGCAATCAGAGGGCAGGGTGCAGTAAATTACATCGTTACAGGGGTGGGGGTCTTGAAAAACCCAGTGTCCGGTGGAGAGGGGGATTTTTGCAAGGCTGAACAGGAACAATGGTCGCAGGTTGCAACAATTTGTTGAGGCAGGAACAAGTTCTTTTACTTCTTTCCATGGCCAACTGGTTACTTGTAGTTACTTCAGACTTCCTGGCTTCTGGAGACCATCCAGAGGTGTACGTGCGGGTCACCAAGGCTATTGTGGCCAGGCTTGGACTTGGAGCCCTGACACTAAAGAGGTAAAGTACTCCACAAGGTGAACTGTCCAAGGTCACAGGTGCTCAGTGCCCTTCAGATCTGGCTGAGGCTCTGTGCAAAACAGCGTTTTTCCTGGGTGGCAAACACCATACTTTGATCCCCAGCCGTTCCCAGGAACCAAAGACACTTCCCCTGGGGAGGGAACAGGAGACTATACAAAATGACAGAGCCTCCAGCCAACCAGAGGTGGCTTCCTCAGACCCACCCTCTTCTAGGGTGTTGCCAGCTCCACTCCACCTTGGGGCCAGCTTCCCAAAAAGGTCCCACCCCCGGCAGGTCCCTTGCAGGCAGTCCATCCTGACTGCTCCTGCAGGTGCAGCTTCTGAGGCAGAGGGGCAGGCTGCTTGGTCCAGATCTGCAGGAATAGGCCATTTCTTCCCTGGCTCCAAGCTGGGAAAGTTTGCTCCCAGCCGTCCTACCAGCTTCCCCATATGGCTCTCGAGGGACTCAGGTGAGTGGCGACAATGGTATAGAGAGGAAGAAAGTGTGGGGACAGCTGAGTTAAGACGGATCCAGTCTGACGACCAAAACAATACCAAGGGGAGATGCCAGAGCCAGCCCTGGAGTGTACTAGATGAGCCTCTGGTCTGGGGGAAAGGCAGCTCCAAGAGGGGACGTTACCCTAAAAGAAGAAAGACAATCCATGTGGATGGACACTGGGGTGGGGGAGGCTATACTCTATAAGATTTTGTAGCCAACAAAAAGTTGGATTTCTCTTGCTTCTCTTAATGCCAAACCCCCTTGGTGAGCCAGAAAGCAAAGGACTAGGGGTACATTCCCTCCCCCACTGTAACTGAGGGCTCCCTCTATCCCCACTGGGACTGAAGGTCCAGGACTAGGAACCTGTGCCCCCTTAAGACCTATTGACTAATCTTTAACCCTTTTTTGAAGGCAAGGAGAGTGGGAAGCAGGGCACAGGGTGGAGCTTGAGGGACCACCTTCTGCAGGTAGTATCTGAACAGGAAATGTGGATTGGGCCAGTCAGGGGCCTCCACAGACTAAGGGCTCCCAGGTCAGGGGATGGGAAGAGCAGGAGGAGCTGGTGGGTCCTACCCAGTCCCAGGCCTGACCACAGGAGTTCATAAGACCAACTCTGCCTGTGTGCCCTGGCTGAGGCCCAGAGCCCAGAATAAGCATCGGTTTGCCCTACCCTGATTGGGAGAGGCTGGTGAAGAGGGTGGGACAGCCACAGAGGGAGAGAGAGACCCTCTGGCCTCTTCCTGCTCCTGTGGCACCTTACGCGGCATCTCGCCTACCTCCCAAAGTGCACCTCCCAAGGCAGCCTTGCCAGCTGCCAGTAAGGGATTTCACCAGGCTTCTAGAAACTGGAGAAGCCCAGCTTCAGACAACCCTCCAGGAGCTCAGACAGGAGCTGAATAATAAGTGGGGAGGGGAGAAGCCAAGCCCATAGGAAGAAATAACAGGGTTGGGAACCTTGTGAGAGGGGCCTCAGGGTTGAGCTAGGCCCAGGTCAAATGGAGCCCAAGTGCCATGCTGGAAGCTCTGGCTGGGGGAATCTGACTGTCCTACTCAAAGCCCAACCCCACCCCTTACCGTCCGTGCAAATGCCTTGGTGTAAAGGAAGCAGGGCACAGTTCACCTTGGACAATTCACCTTGTACACAACAGGAACTGCAAATGCCTATTGAAGGTGCACCCTGTGAACTTGCAGTAGGTTGGGGGTTTTTACCTAAAGAACACAGATTCTTATTGGAGGAGAAACACACTGATTAGTTGATCCCCAAAGGGCAGAACTGGGGACTGGAAAGCCTGGTATCCCAGGAGGCAGGGAATGGCTAGCAGGACCCTGAGCTGACAGGGAAGGAGGAGGGTGCTGAGGCTGGGGTGTGAGCCCTGGGGAGCCCCCAGGCAAGAACATCCCACGTGCTGCCTCCTCTCCTGCTGCGGGAGTGCAGGCCACGTGCGCAGGTGCGCCACTGGCCTATAGGACTGTGGGCAGTTCTTTTCACTTTCCGGACCTTAATTTTCCCTTTATGGAAGAAAATGAAAACCAGGCCCTACCTGAGTTTATGTGTGCAGCAAAGAGGGAGGGAACCAACCTACTCCTAAAAGAAGATGTGGTGCATCTGATTCACACCAATAAGGCTGCCCAGCCTTGCAGAGGTGAGCTCAGATCTACTCCAAGCCTCTGCACGTCCTCTCTCACACAGTGACCTGGCCCAGCCCTCTTGCTGAGTGCTGCCCTCAGGTATTATGTGTCCCCTGGACAGTGGTGTCCACTTGGGTGTCCTGACTCAGTACTTCTCAAGCTGCAATTTGCATTTCCTTCATTTTCTGTGTTCTCAGCGAATGATCCCAGTGACCCAAGTGGGACCTCTGCTCTATCCCCTGAGCAAGTGCAACCCTAAGCAAGTGATTTAACCTTCTAAGCCTCAGTTTCCTCATTTATAAAGCAGATATAAGCACAGTATCTCCTTCAATGGGTTGTGGTGTGCTTTCAACAGGACAGGCACATAGAATACTTGGCCAAGTGTCTATCTCAGTAAGTGTCTGGGATTATGCATAAGGAATGCATACATAATCCTGAAGAAAATAGGGTTAAGCAAAGGAGTACCAGTCAATTTGGAAGAGATAATGAACCTAAAGAACTCATTCATCATTTCATTCATTTGCTGAACAAATAATTATCAACAGCATGAATTACAAGGCAAGCTCTGGGAGTTGGCACCAGGAAAACAAAGGCTGGCAAAACAGAGAAACCTGGAGCCTAGTGGGGTAGAGAGTCCCTAGCATCACTTGGCAAGTACTGTAGGAGAGGTCGGGAAAAGGGACAGAGGGACACGCTGGGGGAGGGACCTAAGATGAGAGATCAAGGCCGGCTTCAGACAGGAGGAAGCTGGGTGCTACAGAATAACATGCAACTTGTTGGCCAATGGCAGGAAGAGAGCAATCAGAGTGGAATACAGAAGTGGGGAAGCCTAGGAGACTTCACGATAAAGGGTGAAGAATGCAGACCGGGAGGCAGGGTCGGGAGACTGTTACAGGAATCCAGATGAGAAATTAGCAGGCACCAATAGGGAGGGAGGCCAGGAGGAGAGCTCTGAGCACTAGGAAGGAGGCAGAAGCAACAACCTGGCTGTCAGGAGAACGCAGGGGGTCCACTTGGGTCACTGAGATAAATCACTAAGAACACAGGATGGGGAGAGTGAGTGGGAGGGTGGGGGAAGATGGGGTGGGGGGACAGGGGAGAGTGAGTGGGAGCACCCACAGGGTTTGCTGATGGACTGCATGTGGGGAATTAAATTATTTGTAACAGTATTTTTATTTAACCCAGCACATCCGAATTTTTACCTGTTTCACTGTTTTAATGTGGCTACTAGAAATGTTTAAATTACATATGTGGCTCACATTATATGATGCTATTCTAGATCTCTTCCTATGCATCATGAAAGGATGCTGCTGTACATGCCTGTCAAGGCTCGGGTGCGCAGGCACAGGCGCTTCCCCCCGCCAGAAGCAAAGTCTGCCTCTCCACATTAGTGTTCCTTCCTTTTCACCTTAACACATTAGGGTCTCTTTTCCAGAGAGTACAAATAAATCTACCTCACGCTTCTTAATAGCCATGTTGATCTCTATTATGCAAGTTGAGTACTCCTCATCCAAACATCTGAAATCCAAAATGCTCTAAAATCCAAAAATGTTTGAGCACTGACAGGACATTCAAAGGAAATGCTCCCACTGAAGTATTTTGGATTTCAGATTTCCAGGTTAGGGATACTTAGCCAGTAAATACAATGCAAATATTGAAAACACCAAAAAAGCCCAAAATCCAAAACACTTTTGGTCTAAACTGTTGGATAAGGGATAGCTATCCTGTACAGATGGGCCTAATTCATTCATCCAGTTCCCTACTGATGAACCTGAGGTTGAGGCATGAGTTTGCTTTTTCAGACAAGGCTACAGGAACATCCTGGGAGTACTCACTGTGGAGTCTCCATTCCGAGCTGTAGGCACACCGGCCAGGGGCTGTGGGCACGGACAGTGTTACGGTGGAGGGCCCAGACTTGGAAGGCTTCTCGGGCATGGTTAAGAGATGTGGATGGTGTCCTGCAGTCAGTAGGAAGCCACAAAATAACTTAATTTTTAAAAAATTGCTGACTTTTGAATTTTTCCTTCATTAAAAAAGCAACATATTTTAAATACATTACAGATAATTGGGGAGAAAATAAGAAACCATAAGTTTATCGCACAAATGCATTCTTCCTTTTTCTGGCACGTTTTTATTCTTGCTAAATTGTAATCAGAGTGCACGTCAATTTTAGATCCTGCTTTGTTCCTTTAATGTTCCTGTCTGAGCATTTTTCTATGTGACTATAGAATCTTCCTAACACGTTTATTTAGCCACTCCCTTCAGCTAGACACTAGAGTCTTCTTCAGTTATGTTTGAGCAGCTCAGATGATGCCTCTGCCTGTGACCCCAAACGCCTTCTCTAAGGGTGCTTTCCTGGCAGCATTCAACCAACCTCAAGTCTCGCTTGTGTAAGGGAAACCAGAACACACCCATCAGTACAACCCTGTCCCCTCTAGCTGCCACACTGTCTCTTTCCTGTGACAGCCCGACTTCTGGAAAGACAGCCCCACTCCCACCCCATCCATGTGCCCCTTCTTAAGTCCTCTACCTGCCCAGTCTCCCTCCCATTCCCACCTGGTCAGGGCCTGGGCCCTGGCCTCCTCTCTCTCTGGACTCTCTTCCTCTCTCCCATGACATCCCTGCCCTCCTGGTAAATCGTAAAACTTTCTCCTGAGCCTGCCTGCCTTCTGGGCTTCAGCCCCCTTCCTCCAACCAGACTACCAAGCATCTTCTTTGTGGTCCCCCCGCCCCATCCCTCTAATCCATGGCCAAGTCTGGCCCATGTGCCCCCCTAGACAGCCCTTTACCTATTCCTCCCCATCCAGCTGCCAACACCCTGCTGTTGCTCCTAATGCCTCCCAGGGGCTGGCACCTAACTTATCTTCCTGCCTCCATCAGTGCCTTCCCTGCCACCCCACCATGGCCAGGCTCCAGATTTCAGTGGGAACACTTTAGTGGGGTGTGTGTGTGTGTGTGTGTGTGTGTGTGTGTTTTCAAATAAAAATCTGACCAAGTCACTCCCTGGAGGAAATACCTGTTCCCCTGAAGTCCAATCCTCCGAGCCTGAAATTCGGGCCCCAGGTGACCTGGCCCTGGCTCACCTGTGCACCCTACTCCCTCCCTTCTCATCTGTTACTACTCTCCACCCTGCAGTTCACAGACATTCCAGGAGTGAGCCTTCCTCGCTTCTGCACATTGTGATTTCTTTTTCACGGACTGCTCTTCCTCCTCTATGCCTTCTTCACCTGAAGAACTTCTACTAATAACTTTTTAGGTCCCAGCTTAGAAGTACCTCCTCTCCCGGGAGGCCCTGACTTCCTCCTCATCTACCAAGACTCAGGTGCTACCCTCCAATTTGCCTCACAGCATCTGGTGTTTTTCCCAATCACGGAATTCACTGTGCTGTGTTCCATGCATCTGACCCATTCCCTCCCCCTCGCCCACTACACCCCATCTTCCTGGCTCCATACCCTGAAGACAGGGTCTGTGCCTCATTGACCTCTGAATCCCCAACTTAGCATAGTGCTTGAGGCTGAGCTTGTGTCCAATAAATATATTTTGAATTCAGAACTTAACAGAAACTGATGAACATCTTGATGCATTAACTTTTCTCATTCTGAAGATTATCTCCTTTGAACAGATTCCCAGAAGCTGGGAATTATTGAATCAAAGAATATTAAACACTTTCAATTCTCATATCTACCTAGCTTTCCAAAAGGCTGTGGCAATTTACACTTCCACCAGCAAGTCTGAGTGCTGATCTCACTGCATTCTTGCAGCTTGGCTATTCTCATTATGCTTTTAAAAAAAAAAAAAATTAAGACAGATTCTCCCTCTGTCACCAGGTTGGAGTCCAGTGGCATGATCATAGCTCACTGTAACCTGTAACTCCTGGGCTCATTCGATCCTCCTGCCTCAGCCTCCTGAATAGCTGGGACTACACATGTACACCATCTGGCTAATTTTTAAATTTCTGCAGAGGCGGCAGGGTTTTGCTGTGTCGCCCGGGCTAATCTCAAACTCCTGGCCTCAAGCGATCCTTCTGCCTTGACCTCCCAAAACACTGGGATTAAATGCACGAGTCCCTCCCAGCCCCAGTCTGTCTTTTTTTAAAGTGCTCATTTTACAAGCAAAACATATCACCACCTTGTTCTAATTTGTATGTCTTTGATTACCAGTGAGGGTGAACATTTTTCCATATATTTGCCTACTAAATGCACTTCATTTTTGAGGATTTACCTGTTTGCGTGACATGGAACCTGTTAAGGCAGGCTGACTTGTCATGAGGTGACTCTGGGGCTGTGGAGAAAGTGACTGGGAGCATGAAGAGTGCTGCTGCAATGATCCCGTGATGGAGGAGCAGGCCAGGGTCACTCCGGGCCATGAGGAAGAGCAGGAGGGGCAGATATCAAGGAGACCAGGTCAACCCTGGACTGAAAGCAGACAGCAGGTGCAGAGCAGGAGGGGTGAGGGCATACCCAGGTTTCCGGCTCGGCACAGTGAACTGGAGGAGGTGCTGCGCTTGGAGACAGTGCGCAGGTGGATCCACACACCTGCAAGGCAGTTCTCGGCACCCTTTACTAGATACACCTGCCGAGGAACAGTTACCTGGGGCAGCAGGAGAGGCAAGGGCAGGAAGGTCTGAGGCTGGCAGGCTTCTTGAAAGAGACCAGGGGAGCCAGGTTTTGAAAGGATTTGTAGGGCAGGGAGTGGAGTCAGGAGGCTGCCCAGGGGACGATCAAGGTGCGCTCAGGAGCAAGGTTATCATGAGCTAAAGCTGAGTGAGCTATCGAAACATTAGAGGCCTTGTTCTCACTGCTTAGCTGTGTGAATGCAATGACAGCCCTAAAGCAGGTAGTGTTCTTATTATCCCCATCCTATAGATGACACTGATGTGCAGATGACCAGACCTTGCCAAGGTTCAGACAGCTAATGAGTGGTAGAGTTAGGATTTGAACTCAGGGCTCTGGACCCTTTGTCTGTGCTCCTCACCATGTGGCTGCAGTTGCTCTAGATATGTGAGCACTCAGGAAGACTGAGGGACAGTGGAACGAGCTCCCCAGAAGGAGCTTATTAAGATTCTCAGCATTTGGGGCCCTTCCTGGAAAACAACAACTGTGGACAAATCCCAAAGCCCACCTCCTCTGAGCCAGGAACTGGGCTGCTGAGCTCTGCTTGGAGTTCACCTGGCCTGGTGACTGGAGCCACCACAGACACCTGATCTCTGACCACAGCCAGCCCAATAACTCTTCTCTAAGTCCCAGACAGCTCTTAACCCTCAGTTACTGAGGCGGGAGGACTGATTGAGAGAGCTGCCAAGTTGGAGACAAGGCTGGGCAACACAGCAAGACCCCATTTCAAATAAAAAACAATTAGGCATCTATAGTCCCAACTGTACAGAAGGCTGAGGTGGGAGGACAGCTCGAGCCCAGAAGTTTGAGGCCACAGTGATCTGTGATCACACCACAACACTCCAGCCTGGGTGACAGAGTTAGGCTGTTTCTAAAACAAAACAAAACAAACAAAAAACTCCCCATCACTGAGCCACAAACACCTGTGCGTCCTCTCCCAGCCTCTCCCGTCCAAGGTCAGTCCCCCCCTCCACTCAGGATAAGCACCTCAACCCCTAATGTTATCATCCCCACAACCTGCCCAAGGTCATGCCCTGCAGCAATGCTGAGGAAAAGAAAGGATTAGGCATCTAGAGGTTCATCCTAAGTGACCTGGTTAGGTACTGTGGAGGCCAAGGCAACTTCATCTTGGAAGCTCATCTGTCATGTTGGTTTCTGATTAACCCTGGTTCCAGGAAGCTCCCCAAGATTTCCAGCGTATCCACTATTCCTTGTGTAAGATCACATACTTACTATACATCTTGACCCTGGGTCAAAACAAATCTGATGTTATCATACTTCACTTGTCCTACACATCCCTTCTGAAGCACATGCACTCTCTCTCTGTGGTATATAAGCCCTGGGTCTGGGGGCCTGTAAGGTCTATGGATGTGCTTTGGTCAAAGAATAGGCCAAGGCAGATATCCGGGCCAGAGTGACTCAAGTGAGTTTAGGGCACAGGAGCATATTCCACTTGTTATGTAAGCTGTTCAAGTTCATACTTGGCTCTGAGCCAGTGTTGTCCATAGAAGGTATAACTGCCCTGCTGTGTATGGGGCTCGGTTCAGTGCAGCAAGGCATGGCATGGCACAGCTCGTGCACATGCCCAGAGAGAGAATAACATTGCTAACCCCTCTAAGGGAGAGCTGGTCTCCTTGAAGGTGGGCAGGGGGAGCCAGGAACTGGCTTGTGCCTAAGGGGAAAGAGTTAAGCTGCTGACCCTGACAGAGCTGGCTTTGCAGGTCAGGGGGTACAGCTGCAGACATAGGGGCAGCAGGAGCCTCAGAGCCAGCTGTTGAGAGGAGCCACCGAGCCGGAGCAGACGGCCAAGATCAAGGTGGACAGTGAGAGAGCTAGTGTGAGTAAGCTGCTGATGAGAGAGCTGCTGAATAAAACTACGTATCACCTGCCTACAGTCCCAAACTGTTCTTTCAGCTCTTCGCCCATCCACCCACTCCCCTTGGACCTCAGCTGGGGCCGAAACCTGACACGGGCGTAGTCATGGCATAACAAGGGTCATGGCTCGGGGGATCCACCATCTGGTCTCACAGCCACCCGAGCCATTTAAATCCCTATTAAATGTTTCTTTCTAAGAAACTGGACTTGACAGCCTCTTCCTCTGACCTCTCAGCTTCCTAAGACTTTGGGGCAGGTTTGCATAGGCCTGCCCCATGTGAAACAGGTAAATTATTCTGCCTCCAATCTGTATCAGCCTTGGCAGCTGACAAGGGTGAGGAAATTCTCCGAGCACTGAGATGAAATAACCTCAAAGTGGAAAATGAAAGGTTCAGCACATTGTGTCCACTGTGCTACCATTTGTGGCGAGGTGGGGGAGAAGAGAGTATTTGCTACCATATTTATATTTATATTTGCATACACATTGCATAGACATGTATGCATAGACTGTCTCTTGAAGGACACACAAGAAACTGGTAACACTGGATACTTCCATGCAGAGGAACTGGATGGCTGGAAGTAGGAAAGACTTTTCATGTATGCGTGTGTATAAATATGTGTGTCTATACATATACATGAGTTGCCGATGCCCCCCTCCATTTCCGCCCCCAGGGCCTGGAAGAGAATTTTCTGGCGGCAGATCCTACTTGCACTTGGCCTCTTAGGCCTGTTCCTGTGTGGCCTCCCTAAATTCAGGTACAAGCCCCTTTCCCCAGCACCTGAGGTGGGACCACAGAGTCAGGGTTAAAGGGGATCTGTCTAAGTGCCTCCTTGATGGATGGAGGGTGGTGGCTAGCTCAGCTCAAGTGTCCTTGTGAGCCCTCTCTCCTTGTAAGAAGCAAAGCCAGAGGGCTCCTGGGCAGGCTGACATGCTTCTCATGGCTGCCCCCCACCGCCATAGACATCTGGAAACCTTCATCCCCATGGGTGTCTGTCCTTCAGCCACAGTGTCGCTGCTGAGAGACAACTTCACAGGTGCTCTGCGTCCCTGGTAAGAAGCTCCTATCCCTCCCACTCCAAGAGTACCCCCAAACCCTACAGATCTCTGCCCCATGTCCCTGCCCTCCTCACATCTCCCACCCCAGCAGATCCCAAGCACTGCTCCACCAAACCCAGCAGCCCCCATTGCGCTATACACCTCCCAGTCCTCTGTGTTGCTCTGAGCTGGAGGCTTCCAGGTGCAGCAGCTAGGTCTCACCCGTCTGTGGGTCCCTAGGGCTCCGCACTGGGGAGGTGGCAGTGAGCATACACCAAGCGGGTGGATGAATGGAGCTCTTTCCCATCCCTGCCTGGCCAGGGCCCGGCCTGAAGTTCTGACCTGCACCCCCTGGGGGGCTCCCATTATTTGGGATGGCACTTTCGACCCAGATGTGGCCCAGCAAGAGGCTAGTCAGCAGAACCTCACCATTGGGCTGACTGTCTTTGCTGTAGGCAGGTAAGTCCTGGGAAGGGGAGCAGTGCTGTCAAGGCTGGGAGTGGGAGGGGTGTGCATGTGATGAAGGAGGTGGGGCACCCTGCTCCCTGTGCTGTGGAATCTCAGAGTGAAGTGAGAAACAAAGACAGCACTTCTCGACCCATGCCCCCAGGGTAAGCACAGGACCATCCTTCTCCTCCCTAGACACCAATACCATACAGCCCGCCCAACACAGGCAGCCAGGACTGTTCTAGAACCGTATCTAGAAGAGACCTGCCTAGGGGCTGGGACTAATCCATCTGGAGGCACCGGTTTCGTAGTGAGAAAATGATGGGGTCTTTCAGATGAGAGTGGTGAGAGGAGGGCGGTGTGACTGGTAATTGGAGGAATGGTTCACCACAGCAGGTGCCTAATGGAGGTCAGCAGCTCAGGTGCAGGTACACAGGATGGGAGGGGGGTGCCAACCAAGTCTGATGGAGGGAGAGTGGCTGGGGAGCTGGAGGATTGCAAGGGAGTGAATCTGAACTGGGCAGAGGGAGTAAAGAGGAGGGGGGTGACAAATACTGAGAAAGTGGCAGGGTCACCAGATGGAGGATTCAGTGAGGTAGGACTGTTTTGGGTGGGGGTGGTAATCACAGTAAGCGAGCTAGAGAAACGAGGTCCTCCTATGGTCACTCTCTCAACTTGGTCTTCATCAGTGTCTGTTCCACTCTGTTCCTTTCCTGCAGAATCACTGCAGGAAAGGAGGTCAAGAGAAGAAATGGCAGAGGCACTGACCTCCCCACTACGATGACAGGGAGTGTCTAAGCTGGGTGTCCACCTTCCTGAAGTGACATGAAGGGGACTCTTGGCAGTCAGATCCTATAACCTAGTTTCAGGCAACTAAAAGAAGCATTTCTAAAAATGGAACCAGTTGCTTTGGGAAGGTGGTGAGAGCCTCCCATTTAGGAAGAGACTCAAAAAGGATGGGGAAGGAATTTTGTTACCAGATACCCCAGACTACCATTCAAGGCTCCTCCAACTCTGTCTCCCACACCCTACAAGCGACAGAAAGCCAGGAGTGCCGCTGACAGGCAAGGGGATGAAAAGGACCAAGGTGTGAACCACAGACCAGGTGGGCAGAACTGCTGGGCCACTTGGACCTTGACCTCTCCCAGGACCTTGGTGTTCCCACTTCCATCACACATGCTGAGTTTCTGCCCCATCCCTAGGGGACAGACACTCAATGTACAGAAAATTCTGGGATCCTGAGGTCCTGAGTTCCAAGATTCTGAGTCCAACACTCTGGGATGCTGAGATTGCCCAGGTCTCTGATTCCCATTTCCCACAGTCACCAGGAATAGGCCAAGTGTAAGTAAAGGTACAGGCTCCAAGGCCCAGCTGGGTCCGAATCCAGGCTCTACCACTTACCAATGGTACATACAAGTTTCTAACACTCTTTAGATGAGACAGTGCACATTGATTTAGAAAGCAGTGGCTGCCACATGATCAAAGTTCTAAGTACTATTAGGTACTGTTACTATTATTTTAAAATCCTAAGATTCCCAGGGTCTGTTCATACAGTATTCCGGGCAGCCTCATTATCGATGTAGTGAAAGACACTCAGTAACTTAAAACAGCTTATTATCATAGCTCCTAAAATAATTCTGTGAAGGGCCAGGCACAGTGGCTCTAGCCTGTAATCCCAGCACTTTGGGAGGCCCAGGCGGGTGGATCACCTGAGGTCAGGAGTTCAAGACCAGCCTGGACAACAGGGTGAAACCCCGTCTCTACTAAAAATACAAAAAATTAGCCAGGTGTGGTGGCTGAGGCCTGTAATCCCAGCTACTCCGGAGGCTGAGGCAGGAGAATCACTTGAACCCAGGAGGCAGAGATTGCAGTGATCTGAGATCGCACCACTGCACTCCAGCCTGGGCAATAAGAGCGAAACTCCATCTCAAAATAATAATAATAATAATAATAATAATAATAATAATAATAATTCTGTGGGTCAGGAATTCAGACAGGGCTCAGCAAGAAGGGTTCCTCTCCTCATGCTCCCAAATGTCTGGGTCTCAGCTGGGAGACCAACTGCTGAAGACTAGTAGGGCCAGCTTGGGCCTCCTCACTCACGGCAGCACCCAAATTCTGGGACTTCTTAAAAGGAGGCTCAGAGCTCTAAAGAGAAAAACGCTGCCAGTCCTCCAAAGGGCCAGTATGAGGCAGGAGAGGCAGGCAATTTGCAAGCATCTTCAGCCCAACCTGCCCTGCCCCATCTAAGTTGAAAGAGGCTATGGTTGGAGGGTCTGGAGGACCAGGCAGCATGGTGGGGGTGAAGTGGGGTGAGGTGAGATTGGGGTGGGGGTGGGTGAGGCTGGGGTGGGGTGAGGGTTGGGTTGGGTGAGGTGAGGATAAGGATTGGGTAGGGGTGAGGTGGGGATGAGGTGAGGTTAGTGTGGGGTGAGGTGGGGGTGAGAAGGGGTTGAGGGCTGGGTAGGTGGGGGTGAGGGTTGGGTGGGGTGGGATGAGGTAGGGGTGGGGGTAGGGTTGAGATGGGAGTGGGGCGAGGTGGGGATGAGGGTTGGGTGGGGTGAGGTGGGGTTGAGGGGTGGGTGGGGTGTGGTGGGAGTGAGGGTAGGGTGGGGTGGGGTGAGGTGGGATAAGGGTGGGGGTTGGGGGTGAGGGCTGGGTGTGGCGGGGTTGGGGTTAGGAGGGGGTGAGGGTTGGGTGGGGAGGGTCGGGGTGGGAAAGGCAGCCCCGCCTCGCCTCACAGGCTCACTGTGGCGCCATGCCATCAGGTACCTGGAGAAGTACCTTGAGCGCTTCCTGGAGACTGCGGAGCAGCACTTCATGGTGGGCCAGCGCGTGGTGTACTACGTGTTCACCGAGCGGCCAGGCGCGGTGCCGCGCGTGGCGCTGGGCCCAGACCGGCGGCTGCGCGTGGAGCGCGTGGCGCGCGAGCGGCGCTGGCAGGACGTGTCGATGGCGCGCATGCGCACGCTGCACGCCGCGCTGGGCGGGTGGCTGGGCCGCGAGGCGCACTTCGTGTTCTGCATGGACGTAGACCAGCACTTCAGCGGCGCGTTCGGGCCCGAGGCGCTGGCCGAGTCGGTGGCGCAGCTGCACTCCTGGCACTACCACTGGCCGCGGTGGCTACTGCCCTTCGAGCGCGACGCGCGCTCGGCCGCCGCGCTGTCGCGGGGCGAGGGCGACTTCTACTACCACGCGGCGGTGTTCGGGGGCAGCGTGGCGGCGCTGCGCGGGCTGACGGCGCACTGTGCGCTGGGCCTGGCGTGGGACCGCGCGCGGGGTCTGGAGGCGCGCTGGCACGACGAGAGCCACCTCAACAAGTTCTTCTGGCTGCACAAGCCCGCCAAGGTGCTGTCGCCCGAGTTCTGCTGGAGCCCCGACATTGGCCCTCGGGCCGAGATCCGCCGCCCGCGCCTGCTCTGGGCACCCAAGGAATACCGGCTGCTGCGGAACTAGCGCCGCCGCCGGCCCTCCGGCTCCTCCGCGGGCCCAGCAGGCCCGGTCCCGCTCCCGTTCCGGGTATCTTTGGCCCCGGGAAGGTGTGGAGTGGGAGTCACCAGAGGGAGAGATCCTGAAACCGGGCGGGTCCCTTCTGGATGCTGATGGCGATCTGGCGGGCAGAGAGTTACTGGATGCAAAAGCCCCACCCGCTCCGTGTGTGCCCGTCCGTGGGAGTGGGAGAAGGAGCTCCTTGCCTTTGGGGAGCTCTTCACTTGAAGAGAAAAATCCCCTTCCCTTACTTGAGCAGTGAGCGACACACAACTACAGTAGTGCCTCGATCGAGGAGCCTCTAGACCTTTCACCTCGACCCTGCGGAATGCTGCTGGTGTCTCTGGAGATGTTTTAGTCCCACCTGCCCCCCCGCACCTCTTTTTTTAAATAAGGAGACTGAGGCACAAAGAGGGAACATAGCTGCCCAACGACGCCCAGGGTCTGAGTCACTGTGATGTCAGCGACTGGAAAGGCGTGGCTGGCCCCTTGGGATGCCTCTGGGCTGGAGCCACAGGAAGAAACACAGGTGGCACCCCGTCATTGGCTCTGCCCTTTTGCCTCCCCTGCCCATAAACATGGTTTGTACATATCTCGGTAATGTGATGATAAATTATTCCTGCGCTGTGAAACAAAGTAGCAAATGTAAGAAGCCATGTTTGCTCTTTTCGCTTGCCAGCATAATTTCACAAAGCCCTGACTGTGACAGCATATAGCTGTCAAAACAAAAACACAGCTCCCCACGTCCCTGGCTCTAGTCACTATATTCCCTAAAAACTAAGTGACTCTAGATATATCTACATATAAGGTAATGTCGGTTGGGGTTAGTGATTATGCTGCTATCAACTATAACCAGATACACTCTTGCACACAAACTTAGATATAATTTTACACATACTAAAGCTTTTCTACCTATATATAAACTCTAAACTTGGATTTTCCCCCTTTATGAATTGTACTGGCTGTTGACCACCAGACACCTGACTGCAAATATCTTTTCTTGTATTCCCATATTTCTAGACAATGATTTTTGTAAGACAATAAATTTATTCATTACTTTTTTAAAAAGTACTACATTCAGGCCGGGAATAGTGGCTCACGCCTGTAATCTCAGCACTTTGGGAGGTTGAGGCAGGCGGATTACTTGAGGTCAGGAGTTCTAGACCAGCCTGGCCAACATGACGAAACCCCATCTCTACAAAAATACAAATATTAGCCGGGCATGGTGGTGCACACCTGTAATCCCAGCCACTCAGGAGGCTGAGGCATAAGAATCGCTTGAATCCAGGAGGTGGAGGTTGCAGTGAGCTGAGATCGCGTCACTGCACTCCAGTCTGAGCGACAGAGCTCAATAAATAAAATACTACATTCAAAGCATCTGATAGAACCTCTCTAAAGAGCTGCTGCTGGGCTGTAGGCCTTGGTTAATGGTCCTCAGTAAGACTTCTAAGTAACACTAACTTTAATTCTTTAAAAGCTTACGTTTAATTCTTTAAAAGTTGACATTCCCAAATTGTTATTGTGACCTTACTCCAAAATGATATTTTCTGACCTCAGGGCTAGCAGGGCCACGTTCAGCCACAGTATCTGGGAGGGAAGTTTCCACATCCATGGCAGCTGTCCAGACTTCTGACTCCCAGTGGAGAAACACATGCTCTGAATAGGAGTGTGAAGGCATCACACCCTCCAGGGAAGGTGGTCACCGGGCCAAGGAGATAGGTAAGGTAGCTACTGAAGCCCCTGAGATTTTTCTGACAATTGGGAAAACAGGGGCCCTGGGAGATTGGGATTTCATTCACCCTGGCTCTCTTGAATCTTTTATGTAGTATTGCCACCAACCTTGTATTTTATAAGCCTCCACTCCCAGGTAGGGCAGCAATTCTTGCTATTTACCAGGCCCAATTATCGATGGTAAGAGAGATCTGTCCTCTCAAAAGCAGTTCAAAATGTTTCCTATCTAAACTGGATTAGCAAAACCCAGAAGGCCATCTGGACTCAGGATTAGAGATGAGAATGGGCCAGGTGTCTTAAGAACAAATGATATGGCCGGGCGAGGTGGCTCACACCTGTAATTCAACTACTTTGGGAAGCAGAGGCAGGCGGATCACAAGGTCAGGAGTTTGAGACCAGCCTGGCCAACATGGTGAAACTCCATCTCTACTAAGAATACAAAAAATTAGCTGGGCATGGCAGCAGGCACCTGTAATCCCATGCTGACTATGAGCTGAGGAAGATATGTGTCCTTCACCCTTACCCTGCAGCATTTACTGAGGGCCACATATACTTCCCCTAACAGTTGCTGAGCCATTTGATACCTGAGCATGAGCCAGTCAGAGATGATGTGAACCAGCTCTTTTAACTTTGTGTTTGTGTAGACAAGTTCCTCACCTTTGCTGGCCTCATTTTCTCATATGTGAAATGTGGATGCCAATCTCCCTCCCTGCAGGGGTTGTGGTGGTGCTCTAGAAAACACAACTTGCCTTTCTCTCCCTGCCTGCCCCTTCTCCAGCGAGTTCAGAAGCTGCAGAGGATTTGCCGAAGAACAGTCATTTCCTGTTTTTTGAGACAGCGTCTGTTGCCCAGGGTGGAGTGCAGTGGTGTGATCATGGCTCACTGCAGCCTCAACATCCCTGGGCTCAGGTGATCCTCCTACCTCAGCCTCCCAAATTGCTGGGACCACACGCACACACCACCACACCAGGCTTTATTTATTTATTTATTTATTTATTTATTTATTTATTTATTTATTGTAGAGGCAGGGTTTCACTGTGTTGCCCAAGCTGATCTCGAACTCCTGGTCTCAAGGGATCTACTTGCTTCGGCCTCCCAAAGTGCTGGGATTCCAGGCATGAGCCACTGCGCCCAGCCAGTCATTTCCTGTTTTAAAGGGGAATAAATGGCGCGCTAAGGAGCTACCAGGGTGTCAGCCGGAGGCAGCCTTAGGCTGTTGATGGAGATCTTCTTGAGGAGGGGAAGGATCAAGGAAGTTGCAGGGCGAGCAAACCTTGGGAATGGCTCCCTTCCTAATGAGCCCAGAGGCCTAAGGAGGGGTTGTGGGGGTATGAAGGGACTTGGATCTGAAGCAGGAATAACAAGAGGGCTAAAGCTCCTTCTGCAGCTGCCTCCATTACCGTCAACACTGTCCTTAGCACCTAGAGGGCAGTGGCACTTACACACTCCCCAGGCGAGCAGGTGAAAATCAGACTCAGTCCCCTGAGCACCATTGCTACATGCAAAATCTCCACCTGTCCCAGCTGCCTGACCTTGCCAGGCAGGCTCAAATGCCACTCCTAGAAATTCCCAAACATCTTCAGCTCTCTTAGGGATCACTGATCCATTAGGGCCAAGGCAAATAATAGCAACAATAATATGGACATATATTGGCTCTTACAATGTGCCAGTTGTAAGCATTAAACAGGTATTGATTCATTTAATCCTCACATCCACCTACCCTGTAAGTTTGTTGCTATTTATCTCATTTTACATACAGGGAAACCAGGCATACATTTAGTAATGAACCCAATGTCATACCACTGGCAACTTAAATTCATTGACGTGAGAACAAACAGGAAATTAAACATAGCCAGAGGATGAAGACTGACAGGAACAGAGGTTACCCATAGCTCTTATTCTCCTCGTTCCATTTCTGCTCTTTCTCTGTCTGCTTTGTTCTTCTGCTTGTACCCAGCTCAACACAGTCACCCCAAACTGCAGTCTGCAGGGTTTTCCAGTTCAGTGCCCACTATCTCCTAACTTGTTCCTAATTCATGGAATAGGGAATCTTACTGGAGAATCAGCTCCATCCGGTGCTGGTCTGGTATATGTCTAGCAGTTGACCCAGGGGAAAAAGAAAGCCCTGATTTATAGTATTTGCCAATCAATATTCATGGTGTAAATCCCATCATGGCTGATTTCAAGCTACCAATACTGAATGCAGAGCTTGGAAGAAGTGTGCACAAATTGCTCATGTGAATCAGAACAGCCATTACATACCACTGGCTGCACCTATGCACTGAGTCACTGAGTCAGGTGTCCACCCCTGGCCAATCAGCTGTGTCTGCAATGGGGTCATGTGACACAAATATGGCTGCCAGGGCCCACCACTTCATGGCAAAGCAGGTTATGGGAGGTCAATTTCAGAGAGAGATGAGGCCCCTGAGATTACTGAAAACATGCTGGTTCTTGGCTATGCCACATCCATTTCCCCTTCTGATAGTAACACACTCTGGTTTCCTATTAGGGAACCTTTTGTACTTCAGAAGGTAAAGAAGGTGAGTGCTTCAACCTCTGCTCCAGGATTAGAGCATGGGCCCTAGTCCCAAGCCAAAGAAGCACTTAACATGATCCAGTTAGAACTGGGAAGACCCAATGAGACTTTTACTGGGTGCTATGGTTTGAATATGTACCCCCACAAAAATGTGTTGGAAACAACCCCAGTGCAACACTGTTGGGAGTTGGAGCCTAGTGGGAGGTGTTAGGTCCTGGGGGCTCCATCCTCATGAATGGATTAATGCTGATTATAAAAAGCCACAAGGGCTGGGTGCAGTGGCTCACACCTGTAATCCCAGCACTTTGGGAGGCCGATGCAGGTGGATCACCTGAGGTCAGGAGTTTGAGACCAGCCTGGCCAACATAGAGAAACCCTGTCTCTACTAAAAATACAAAATTAGCCGAGTGTGGTGGTGCATGCCTGTAATCCCAGCTACTCGGGAGGCTGAGGCAGGAGAATCACTTGAACCTGGGAGGCAGAGGTTGCAGTGAGCCAAGATCGCGCCATTACACTCCAGCCTGGGCAACAAGATCAAAGCTCCGTCTCAAAAAAACCAAAAAGGGCCACGAGGCTTCGACCATGAGGCTTCGAGTTCTATTTTTCTCACTCTCACCTTTTGTTTTGTTTTGAGATGAAGTCTTGTTCTGTCTCCCAGTCTGGAGTGCAAAGGGTGCAATCATGGCTCACTACAGCCCTGGCTTCTCTGGCTCAAGCAATTGTCTCACCTCAGCCTCCCAAGCATCTGGGACTACAGGCACATGCACCCCCACACCTGGCTAATTTTTAGTGTGTTTTTTTGTTGTTGTTGTTTTTGTTTTTTTTTTTTGTAGAGATAAGGTCTCCCTGTGTTGCCCAGCCTGGTCTCAAACTCCTGGGCTCAAGTGATCCTCCTGCCTTGTCCTCCTAAAGTGCTGAGATTACAAGCATGAGCCACCAAGCCTGGCCTCGCCCTCTCTTGCTCTTCTGCCTTCTGGTATGAGATGACATGGCATGAAGGCCCTTACCAGATGCTGGCACCATGCTCTTGGACTTCCCAACCTCCAGAACTGTGAGACTGGAATTTATCATGAACAGAACATTATAAATTATCCAGTTTGTGATATCCTGTTATAGCAGCATAAAACGGATGAAGACACTGGGCTTTTGTCAGAGACAGAGGCTTGATTGCTGGAACCCTGTGGACTATGAGACTAGAGCTGATTACTGAGGGCCCCCACAGCAGCCTCAGGCTGAAGCTGACTAAGAACGGAGTGGAGAGCTGGAGACACATCCTTTGAGCCCTGAAGCTGGCCTGACCACTGTCCTGTTATATAAGCCAATGTATCCTTGTTTGGATTGGACTTTCTATCACTTACAGCCAAGTCTTGACACACAAGGACTGTGAGAACTATGGGCAATGAGTTCTTGACGATGAGCTCCATGGTAGTCACTTCTGTCTTCCCCACAGTCCTTTCACAGGGCCAGCCTTGATAAATTTTTCAGGAATTACCAAATTTCCTTCCTAGGCAATCAAAACATTGACCTCCACGGGGAAAAAATGTATGCCAGGGACGTCTTGGACGCCCCCTCCAGTCACTAGAATCACTTCCACAAATCAGGCACTCATGATGGACCCCCACAGATGGGTGGGGTGCCCCTCAGGGAGCAGTGGAAGTGAGACTTGTTGGTGGAGCTAGTACATCCAAAAAGGCTCCAGAACTAGATAATGCTGGGCCAATATGTGTCACCGACGCTACATGGGCTACATGGCAGCATTATCCGTAGTGAAGAGCCTCTCTTGGTTTGCTGCCCACTTCTTAGGGAGTTGTGAGGCAATCAACATAAAGCACTCATTCAGCACCTGGAGTGAGGTCAGCCCCCAGTGAGAGGCCACTTCCTTCCAAGTCTGGGGGGCGGGGGAGGGGAGAGGAGCAGTGGAAAGGTGCCCCCCAGCCCCGCCCTCGCACAGAGCACGCCAAACACCACCGCCACCCGGGTGCAGGTACAGTTTATTCTTCACAACAGAGAAATACAAAGAGCAGAGGATTTGTAATTCCTTTGTTTCTTGCCCCCTTTAGTGTTTTCCCCCAACATTTGATTTTCCTTTGCTCCCCACCCCCTTTTTTAAATAGAATGCAAACTTCCTTCCTGAAGTGTCTGAGGGGCACCTGCCCTCACCTCCCTGCCTCCGAGATGCAAACTGAGAAGCCAACAGATTGTTTTTTCTTTTTTAATAAGGTAACTAGTTCTAAATATGGTGGCCTGGAGGTCCCATAGAAAAAGCAAAGGGGTGTTAACAGTATGTATAACAGCGTATTTACAGGGAGTAACATGCGGACAAAAAGCTACAATACTGAGTATCAGACGACGCAAGTCAAACAAAGGGCTGGGGGTGGGGGCAGAGGATCCCATGGGAAAAGAAACCCCAGGAAACGTTAAACTGGTAAATCAATGGCGAGTTAAGGCTTAAAAAGTGTATAAAAATAACACAGTTAATATTCAAAACGGAACTCCAGATACAGAATATATAGATGAGTTTCTGTCTAGTTTTCTTTTTTTTCCCGGGGGGATGTGGGGGGCTTCTCCGGGCTCTGTACATGGTTCCTATATACACGGACACGCATGGCTTTCAGATTGGGGTGTGTCTGTGGGGGCTGGGGTTAGGGTCTGCTCCTGGGACCCACCTCCCCGAGGATCCCTTCCCTGCTGAGAGGCCTAGGGCCTGGGCTGGAGATTACTACTACACCGCAGGGAAGACAAATAACCCCTCCCTGGGCACTGCCCCCATCTGGAGGAAATTCTGGAGGGAGGTCCCAGCCCCAGGCCCACTCCCTCTCCATCCCCCTGCCCACAGTCTGGGATGGTGGGAGAGGTAGCCGAAAGGTTTCCTGGCCAGCACCGAGGTAGACTGGGATGGTCTTCAGGGCAGCAGGAGAGGGCCAGGTCTTACCCAGCCCATCCCCACCCCATTTCCCTGGGCCCGCCCACCACCCAGCCCATCACTGCACCCTTTGGTCCTGTGGATCTCCTACCCCTCTCATTTCTGCCTCCTGAAACTGCTGCACCCCTCTGCTCAGTGATGCCCAGGGCACAGCTCGAGAGGTGCGAGCCTGGTGCTCAGGGGCAAAGGGCTCACTCCGGCTGCTTCCTGCCCCTCCCACCTGGGGGTCCACTTTGCAGTCCAGAAACCCAGGCCTGAGCCTTCCCTCAAGACCTGAGGCCATGGCAAGAGAAGGTCCCACACTGCCCTCTGCTTCTCTGCGTCCATCTGTCCGATTCTTTAAATTTCTCGGTCTTAGCAGCACCAACTTCCTGGCCAATAAATATCTTTTCTGTTATTTCCAAAACAAACTTAAAAAACAAACAAACAAAAAAAAGAAAAACAGTGAAGCAAGTGAAGGGTGGGGAACAAAAAGAAAACTCAACAGAGAGGTTCAAAGTGCTCTGAGATCGTCTTTGGATGCCACCAAAACAGTCCAGAATCTTGCAGTTGGCCTGGCCGCCCCCGGACTGGACCAGGCAGGGCTTCTGCGGACCAAGCTTTCTGGAAGGTTGGGAAGGTCGTGAGAGAGCTTGGTGGTTCCTGGAGGGCCCCCAGAGGGAGTTGGGGCCTGGTGCTGCCTGGGTCTGTGTCTGCCAGTGGGCCGGGTGGGGCGGCGCCTCCAGTGGGCTCAGATGAGAGAGATTCGCACCGGGATGCCGGGGGACTCCGTCCTCTGGGGTGAGTGATGGCTCACCAGGTGCTCCACCACCGTGTGTTTGGACATGTGCTTCATCAGGTAGGTCTCCTGTGGGCAGGGGTGAGATTCAGAATAGGGAACCACCAGCAAGGGAGGGAGAAGAGGCTGCAGTTCCCACCAGCAACCACTGGAGGGCTCTTGGTAAACAGTCCAGTGAGTGGAGGACAGCCACAGCTTCGCAGAGTCAGGTACGCATAGCATGTTGGTTCATTCTAGAGACACTGCACTGCTGCCTGGGGTGAGTGCTGGCTGGAGAGCTTGCCCCTCAGCAGCGCCCACCTGTGGCTCCCCTGGGCCAGGCCCTCAGCCCCTTGCCACCTGGCTAAGAGGTTAAGATGACAGAATCTGCAGGGCAGGAAAAAGGGCTCCAAAGGGGTGAGTGGGAGCCCCCGCTTGGCTAGCTGATCTGCACTCAGTCCCTGCCTCTCTCCAAGACTCAAGTTTTCCGTAACCTCCTACAACCAGCTGGCTGTAGCCGGGCATACTGGCTGAACCTCAGCCCTGTCTGCCAGGTGGAGCACGGTTCCCGCATCTGGCTGTTGATCCCAGTGACGGTGAAGCAGTCGGCTTGGGTCTGAGCCTAGCTCTGCCAGTTTTTTTAATGGTGAGAACTTGGACAAGTCATCTTGTCTCTCTGAGCCTCAGTTTCCTCCTCTGTAAGCAGGCATTGGAGAGGAACAACCTCAACAGGTTGCTATGGTCACAGAGATCAAGCCCTTAGCATGGAGTGAGGGTTGAAGGGTCCACTCCCGCCCCAGTCTCTACATTTCTTTTCCTCCCTTTTGATTTCTTTTTTGAAGGTCTCACTGTGCCGCTCAGGCTGGAATGCTGTGGCACAATCATAGCTCACTGCAGCCTCAACCTCCTGGGTTCAAGCAGTCCTCCCACCTCAGCCCTCCAAGTAGCTGGGACTACAGGTCGGTACTATCGTGTCCTCCACTGGCTCTGCTGGATCTGACCCGAGGCACTAGGACTGGGTAGGTGAGGCTGTGACCCAGGGCTCACTGCAGGCCCAGAAGCCCTCACACTAAGCCACATCCTTCCAATGGCCTTTACCAGGAGCAGAGGTGGTACTCGCACCTGCCACTCCTTGACTTCAGACCTCAGTATGCTCAGAGCCCAGCAGAGGAAGCCCTCAAATGAGGCAGTGACATGCTATTCAATACCAGAGGGAAGCAACCCACAAATTTCTAACTAGGAAACTATTCTTCAGTGAATAAATAGCAAAGAAAAAAAAGTGGGGATAAGGGGATCTAGAGATTAAAAGATAAACTGACCCACTACGATGTAGGAATCTTATTTGGATCTTGATCTCAAAAGAATAATGTAGGCCGGGTGCAGTGGTTCACGCCTATAATCCCAGCACTTTGGGAGGCTGAGGTGGGCAGATCGTCTGAGGTCAGGAGTTCAAGACCAGCCTGGCCAACATGGTGAAACCCTGTCTCTACTTAAAATACAAAAATATTAGCCAGGCGTGGTAGCGCGTGCCTGTATTCCTAGCTACTCAGGAGGCTGAGGCAGGAGAATCGCTTGAACTTGGGCGGCGGATGTTTCAGTGAGCTGCGTTTGTGCCACTGGGTGACAGAGGGAGACTGTCTCAATACAAATTAAAAAGGATGTAAATACACAAAATCATGGCATTCATGGGACAAATTGGAATGTCAATGCTGAATAGGTATTTGATGATAAGGACTTCGGTTAATTACTTTTAAGTATTCCAAAGGTATTGTGGATATGCTCAAAAAAAGGAGTCTTTATCATTAGAGACATAAAGTGAAATTTTTAGAAATAGTATGATGTCTGGATTCTACTTCAAAAAACAGAAGTATGGATGAGGCAGGATTGGTTGATGGTGTAGGAGGAGGTTACGGAAAACTTGAGCCTTGGAGAGAGGCAGGGATTGACTGGAGATCAGCTAGTCAAGCAGGGCTCCCACTCACCCCTTTGGAACTTTTCTCTGCAAATTCTGTCCTTGTAGCCTCTTGACCCTCCTCTGCCCTTTGGACTCCAGGGAATAATACATGTTACAGACTCAGCACTTAGCAAGTTATAGCCCTTCCAGCATCTGACAAGTACCACCAACAGTCCCACCTATGATCCATGAACCCCTTCCAGCCAAAGTGACCTTGCAAAATACCTTCCCTGCCAGGCACTGTGGCACACACCTGTAGCCCCAGCTACTCTGGAGGTTGAAACAGGAGGATCCCTTGAGCCCAGGATTTTGATTCCAGCCTGGGCAACATAGCAAGGTCCCATCTCTAAAATACAGGGGGGAGAAAAAAAAAAACCTCCCTGACAGTCCCCTCCCTGTGGCTTCCCATTCCACCTGAAAAAATATCCATATTTTCCTAACAGAGCCCCAAGGCCCCAGATGACCTAATTTCCTTTGAGTTCTTGTAACATGCCAAGTTTGTTCTACCTCAGGGGGTCTGCACTCAGTGTTCCCTGCATGAAAGCATCTTTCCTCTCGTTCTCTTCCTCATCCGATTATCCTTCAAGTCTTCATCTACGTGGTGCTCCCCTAGGCGGTCAATCCGGACCCATCCCCCTCCCCAGCTCCATCCTGTCCTCCCTGCTGTCTTTAAAGACATACTTTTCTTTTATCACAGTGGTTCTCAATGGAGGTGTTTTTTCCCACTAGGGACAAAGAGCCAGGATGAGAACCCAGGAGTGGCGGGGACAGAAGGAGCTCCCAGGGAGGACACAGAGGGGCTGAGCAAGGGCCACGCTGTCCCCCAGAATGCAGGACTCCGGAATGCACGACAGCACGGCCCTGCAGCTGAGCCCCTCTGTGTCCTCCCTGGAGACATTTTTGGCTGTCACCACTTGAGGATGGGTTGCTCCTGGCATCTAGTGGGTGGGGGCCTGGAATGCTGCTCAGAACCCTGCCACACACAGGCCAGCGCCCACAATGGAAAGGTCCTGCCCAAATGGCCATCTGGACCAGGGCTGAGATGCTGTGCTTTACAGCAGTTACACAATTTGCCATCAAACAGTTACATGTGTATTTGTTTAATACTTGTCTCCAACAGTAGTTCTTAACTTCCCTGGGGGGCAAAAAAAAACCATAGATCTGTCTGGCTCATCCTGATGCCCGAGTGGCAGGCAGAAGTGTTTAGTAAACACTGAGTGAACAAATAATGGTCCTAGCTCAGGTTGATTTGGTGCCACTCTGCCAGCCAACAGCCCTGTGAGTTCATCCATTTGACAGATGAAGAAACTGAGGCTCAGTGACCTCTATGTTAGGGATATGAGGTCTGTTAACTAGAATGTGAGATCAACCAGAAGCCCACGCTCAAGCAATTTGCCTGGGGGTGAATGCTGTTTCTGGGTGCCAAAAGCCCTTGTTTGGGGAAATTCCCACTCAGGGATGGGGGCTGAATGCTATGAGCTTTCTGGGGTGCTCAGGCCTTTCCTGAGATGAGGGGGGCTCTGGGCCATGTCACTATGCCACCTTGTGGCCATGATGGGGATTGTAGCTTCCTCTTAAGAGTAGGTGAAAAGCTTCCTGCCACTGCTGTGAGTACTCCAGAGCCTCAAAGACCCAGGCTAAAGGTGCAGGAGGCTAGGGGCTCGGCCTGTGATGGCTGAACCAGAAGTCGGAAGCAGAAGCCCTGGCTCTGCCTTTCCCTGTGATTTCAGGGAGTCACTTCCCCTCTCTAGGCCTCAGTTTCTTTGGAAAATGGGAAGAGTCGGCACAGCTCTGAAGAGGCGGAGGCAGCTGAGGCCTGGAAGGGGAAGCGGCTCCACCAGGGCAGGGCACAGGCTGAACGACTGGCACTCACCGAGGTGTAGGCCCGCCCGCACATGCTGCAGCAGTAGGCCTTGGCGTGCTTGATGGCGTGGGCCGAGAGGTGGATCTGCAGGGAGGCGGAGTCCGAGTAGGCCCGGTAGCAGTTGGGACACTTGTAGGGCTTGTCCTTGTTGTGCTGGCGCTGGTGAGACTGTGGGGCACAGCAGGGGGTCAGGAGAGGAACAGGGGCTCCCCCACCCCACCCCCTTCCCACACTCCCTTGCAGGGGTGGGGGAGGCAGCGCAGCACCTGGGGGTGGGAGGCAGGCGGGCACTCACCTGCAGGTTGGAGAGCTGAGTGAAAGCCTTCTCGCAGCCAGGATGTGGGCACTTGTAGGGTCTGTCGCCTGTGTGGATTCTGCAATGGGCAGCCCAGTGAGGTGGAGGTCTCTGACACACACCCCAAGACTGCTTCAGTCCCCAAGTCCTTACTCTAGCCCCTAAGCCTCTCGGTCCCTACCCTGCCCACACTCCCCAGGGACCAAGAGTGAGTCCAGGCGAGAGCTGGGACTTCAAAGGCCATGGCTCCACCTTCCATCTCTGGCCTCCACCGCCAGTGTGACCAGAGCCTCCCGCTTCCCAGAGGTCCCTGCTGTCTCCGGCCCGCCACCAGAGCCCTCGCGGAAACTCGGTGCAGGCCTGGTCCTCTCTTTCAAAAACCCCACACTGCAGGCTGCAGACCACACATTGCAAAGAACGCAGATGCACAGCTCTGTCGGGACCTTCCCTGCCCACCCAGCCTCCTTCCCTAAGAAGGAGACATCTCCCTCTAATTGGCCCCAGACACTTATTTCCTGTCCCTGCTCCATGTCAGGCACATATCTGTGACAGCTACGTGGTCACCCCAGTAAATGAGAGAATACGAAACAGCAGGGCCCTTGCTCAGCCTCTCTGTGTCCTCCCTGGGAGCTCCTCCTGTCCCTGACACTCATGGATTCTCACCCTGGCTGTTTACCAGCTGGGTGACCTTGGAGGAAACACTGTACATCAGTTTCCTCATCTGCAAAATGGGCATAAAAATACAGCCCCTACCTCAAAGGGCTTTGTGAAGATAACATCAGATAATGCATGTGAAGGGCTTAGCCTAGTGTTGGTACAAAATCAGCCCTGAATTAACATTCGCCAGTTATCATTACTCATTCATCCACATTCATTACATTGGGCAGCCATGCCCCAGGCACTGTGCTAGGTACTTGAATAGATCATAAACAAAACAGACAAAAGGCACTGCCTGGAGGAAACAAGCAACAAGCATGAAATTACAAAGAAAATCACATGTAGAAGGTAGTGAGTGCTATGGGAAAAACAGAACAAGATGAGGGTGACCATGAGTGCCGGAAGGAGGGGTGCAGTTTTAAATGGGGGTAGGGCTTCATGGGGAAGGTGACATGGCAGCAGTGACTTGAGGTCTGATGACCCTGCACCTGCCCAACGGCCCAGCTGTGGACTGAGCGAGGATGTCCACAAATGGAGCTCAGCAGCCTGGCATGCACTAACAGTAGCCTTCCCTGCTTTTCACACTCATGCCTTTGCATCATCTCCCTGGGCGTGTCTTGAAGCATCTGCTCAGGCAAATCTCTGTGCCAAGCAGGTGGGCAATGAGATGCCAGCTAGGCCTGAACCTTGTTTGCCTAATTTGTTGAGGAGGAAAAGTGGAGGGGAATATCCAGATTTGACCAAAAGGGTGTCCACTCCTTCCTTCCAAGGCTCCAGACCCTCTCGCTGACTGGGTTTGCCATCAGCCCATCAATGAACTCATCAAAGAAACTAAGGCCCCTATGGCCAGGCCTAGTGCTGGACTTAGGGACACAGGGTTGAGTAAGAAACACTCCCTGCCACCAATAAGCCCATTGGCTGCCATTATACACATTGACCAAGCCCAAATTCCTTAGATGTAATTCAAGGCCTTCACCAGGTGGTCCAGTGTCCCCTCCCTGCTTGTACACATCCTACACCCTGGTCAGAGACTGATTCTTCCCTGCCAGCCCCGTCTGCTGAGTCTTCCCACACCTCTCCTACATCTGCATCCTGAGCAGGAGAACCTCCCCAGCTCTTCTGCCCAGTAAATGTCAGCTAATCCTTCCAGATTCATCAGTGAGTCGGGCTCTGCGGAATCTCCCAAGCATGCTGCTCCTCACCCCACAGGCTTCCCGAGCACATTCCTCAACACAGAGTTAACCCCACTGGACCCTCGAGGCCACCCACACTTCTGTCTCCCCTGCTAGACAGGGAATCCTGAGGGCACGGATGGGTCCCAGTCTCAGGATCAAGGCCTGGGGTCTGGCCTTCCACAATAGCTATGCCAAGAGAAGCTGGGCGGCTCCAGGTCTGATCACCCCTGTTCTATCTGCACATTTCTGGGTGTCACATTTCAGGATCCCATCCCAGGCTGCTGCCCCTGTCTCTACAATGGAAGGACCTTAAGAGTCATCTGGACCAACTCCATCTGAGGCCAGCATCCTCTTCACTTCATCCCGTCCTCATTCCCTCTAGGGCTGGGGAATTCGTTTAGTTAAGCCCCCTGTCACCTAACGCCTAAGGATCCCCAGGACTCACACTCCTGTTTTAAACCCCACAGCCCCTTCTCCCCTGCCCTGAAACCCAGTCACAGTGGCCTTGCCGTAGCTCCTCTGGCACTGAGCCCTTCATCAGAGCAGCCTTCCCTGACCTGGGGACTTCATCAGAGCAGCCTTCCCTGACCTGGGGACCAGGTCAGACTCCCCGCAGCCCGCCTCTCAGCAACAAAGACACTGGCTTCCCAGAAGTCTCTGTACTTACTTTGTCCATGTCTGGTCACTGTGTTCCTTCAGAGGAACTCCCCTGGGCTCATCCCCCACCATCACCCCTGTGTCTCGCATGGGCTCAGCACAGGGGATTCCATAAACAGACACAGACTGACAGACTGAATGAAGGAAACCAAGTTCTTTCTCTCCGAAGTCAATCATTGACAAGAGAAATATGTTCCACATAATCGGCGACTTCCATGCCCTGGGGTATTTCATAGGGTTTGCTGACTGACTGAAAGACAGTGCTCCAGCGGATTCAGGTCATTCCTCAGAAACCAGTCAAGCACTCTTGGCCAGCAAGCTGCCCACTGGCCTCCACCCATGCAAGTGCAACGACCGCCTGGCCTCCCCCTAGACTCCCAGCCTCAGCCTCTCCCCACCTGGCCTTGGCATGGCCAAAGCTGCAGGGCTCTGACCTTGTCACGGCCCAGTCTGGCAGCTTCCACGATCTCCCTCTTTTTCCATGACAGAGGCCATATCCCGCTTCCCCAGCTTGCAAGGCCCTTCCCATTCTGGCCTTGGTTTCTAAGGCCTCCTCCTCTGCCACTGCACTCCCCAGAGGGGCATCTTACCAACCTCCCCCAACACACATGCAGATGCAGCCCCCAGCAGGCCTAGAGCCTTTGCTCATGACTGGGGAGGGCTGTGGGCCCCTCTGTACTCGAGCCAGATGATCCTCCCCAGCCTCCACCTCCTACTTCCCTCTCTCAAGGAAGTGTCCGCATCTGCCAGCCTCCCAGATCACAGTGGCAGGGGCCTGCCTCTGCCTGCTCCCATGTCCCTATGCATGGCACCCAGCATGGGGCTAGCTCAGAAAAAGCTTCAGGGAGCAACTACTGGATGAAGGAAGGACCAGGCTGCCTGTTCTCTTGGCCACAAAGCTCTTAGCTTCAGTCCCTGAACTTCAAGTCAAGCCTGAGCCCTCAGTTCTAACGTGGGAATCCTCTCTTTGTAGGGCATCTTCCCACTGGGGGGCACCCAGCCCCAGCTCCCACATCTATGGAGAAGTCCACCCTGACTCTAGGTAGTCAATCTTCTTCTGACTGTAAGTCTCACTCTGTTGCTGAGGCTGGAGTGTAATGGCATCATCTCAGCTCACAGCAACCTCTGCCTCCCTGGTTCAAGTGATTATCCTGCCTCAGCCTCCCAAGTACCTGGGGACTACAGGCCTGTGGCACCACGCCTGGCTAACTTTTTTGTATTTTTAGTAGACCACCATGGTTCGAGACCATGTTGGCCAGGCTGGTCTTGAATTCCTGACTTCAAGTGATCCTCCCACCTCAGCCTCCCAAAGTGCTGGGATTACAGGTGTGAGACACTGCTCCCAGCCGGTGGTCCCTCTTCTTCAGGCAGCACAAGGAAGCTGAGCTGAAGCTAGTGGCCCTGGACTACCCGCCCAACTCCCACTGTCCCAGTCCCACCCAGAAGCTCCAAAGACTTGGTCTGCTTTCTTGCCTGGCACCGCCATCCCCATGTGCTTCTTCTGCAGCCCGACGCCCCAGCCCCTTCCTTCCTCCTGAACTGGGCTGCTCCTTGATGCACTGCCCTCGAATCTTGCTTCTGCCACCTCTTAGCTGTGTGACCTTGGGAAGGTGACTGCCTCCCTCAGCCTCAGTTTCCTCCTCTCTAAAATGGGGATAATAATAAAGGCTGTAAGAATTTAAAGGGTGTTCATAAAATATTTTTGCAGTGTTAGTTTTTAATACATTAATTTCTATTTAAGTTAAGCAACTTACGAAAACAAAGGAAATGTATTCAATGTTTCAATAAAATTATTAAGGATTCATGAATTATCACTTTCATTCCTCAGCCATGAGATGGCTTTGGGCATGTTTTGTTTTATAACTAAAACAATGGTCATAGATATATGAAAGTTAAATATTCCTTGAGAGGAGTCCCCCTCTGCAGCATTTTTCAAATTCACTATGAAGAAATAATAAATTCATACCGTACAGGGATTTTATGGACACCTTGTATACTAAAACACCTTAAGCAGGACCTGGCACACAGATGTTCTCTGACAAGGAATAGTTGTCGTCATTATCAGCATTATTCTCAGACTTGAAAAAAATAAAGTGACACTTTCCCCTGCTGCAATGATCATTAGGCAGGTATAAAACATCACCCAGCCGGGAAAAGAAAAACAAAAGCAAGAACACTTTGCACCCTGGATAAACAGACAAACAAATCCAAAGTCACTCTGTCTAGCTCTAGTTCCACAAATAGATACAACTTTCAGCCATTTCCTATAACTTACTCACTTCCTCCTGAAACAATGGTTTTTGTTTGTTTGTTTGTTTAGATAGGGTCTTCCTCTGTCACCCAGGCTGCAGTGCAGTGGCACAATCTCAGCTCACTGCAGCCTCTACCTCCTGGGTTCAAGCAATGCTTTCACCTCAGCCTCCTGAGTGGCTGCAACTACAACACATGCTAACACACTCAGCTCGTTTTTTAATTTTTTGTAGAGATTGGAGTCTCACCATGTTGCCCAGGCCAGTCTCAGACTCCTGGCCTCAAGCTCAAAACAATGTTACCCCTGACATCTGCAGGTACAGACAACCCTCATACATAC